AAAAAGGCCTTCGGAAACTGTGGTCCTCCAGCCTCAGTCAGGTTCTTCCCAGCCAGCAAGGCCGACTATACAGCAGGAAGCACTGCTTGGGGACCACCTGATTGGCCCCATCCTGGAGGCCGCCTGGTGGCATGTAGTGCTTGCCCTTGTATTAGGCATAGCTAGTTCAGGGCTGAGCTAAGTACTGTCTGCATTATATCCCCTGTTGAAGGAGTGCCTAAGAAGCCAACCTAAACACAAACACCACATTTATGTTGTCAGTCAGCAGCTCCTGTTGCTTCTACTCACCTAGCAACGTGCACGGCCAACATGCTCTGCATCTGCTCTGCCCCATAGGGCAGCCACTAGCCATACGCGCCTATCAAACCCTTGAAATGTGGCTAATGTGACTGAAGAGCTGAAGCTTTCTATTACTCCATTTTAATTCATTTCAACATAAATTCAAACAGACAGTGTGGCTAGTGGTTCTCAAGAATTGTAAGGAGTTTGTGATTTTCATTCTGCTTACAAGCAAGAAAATTACCATGTCATTGTTTCTTGGATATTAGTCACAAGATTTTGGAGTGAGAGACAAGTATTAGCACAGCTGTGCCAGTTCCCTGACATGCAAGTCCCTTGGCATGAAAAGAGACACCTGTGTTCCAAAGATTTGCATTACAGGAGCGGAACCACGTACCCTAACGAGGCGCCTAAATCTACCACACTGGGACAGTAAGCCTCATGGCCCTTTGCCCCAAAGGGAAGGAAACGACTAACTCTGCCTTTCTAGGCTGCCTCCTGTATAAATGGGCTTGAGAAAGTAGTTTTCAATAGAAACAATGAGCTTCTCTGTTCACGGGATATACAGAAATCAGAGTGACAAATGGAGAACTGTCACCCAAGCATGTCAGTATCACATTTCTTTCCGAACTGCGCCTGTCTCTTTCCATCTTGGTGAATATCCTGCTTCTAGCCCTACTTAATTCTTGCTCCTTCTCCAGTTTTGCAAGTTGATAATCATACCTCCACTGCCTCCTCTGAGGCAATCTCCATGAAAAAGCCAGAGCAAGTCCCATAACACAAATCTAACCATGTCACCCGCATGTCATCTCCAGTGCCACCCAGGGATCTTCTAACACCACACAGTGCTCCCCTTAGCAAGTTCCATATGGCCCTGAAGGATGTGACTCTTGCTTCTACCTGAGAACACTTCCCTCTCTGGGCCTTCAGCCATACAAGAACTTCCTTCACCTCCTGAAATGCAGTGGTCACAAAGCAGTGGCCCTGGGCTGAATCCCCAAAACACATTTGTCTGATTTGGTCAACATAATAGTTTTAAAAGCACTTGGGCCACTTCACATTTCAGAAGATTACATAATGATAAAATATGAATGTCAATCTCCTGTTTCAAACTCTGGGCACCTGATAACATTTGTGTCTCAACCTAAAAGCACTTGGCTGCATTGAGCATCTACCGTCCTCTTCCCTGCAGACAAAACCTGGGCTCTCCAGGTTGTCACACTCGCTCTCCTGTTCTCTTCTGTTTATTCTTTTACATTATCAATCTAACTTCCTTTCTGATGTTCTTCTTGAGCTGAAGTTTTCGTTCAACTCTCCAAATTCTTAAGCTACTCCTCCTCATCCATCAGGTCTTAGTGTAGGATTCATGCCCTCTGGAAAATTCTCCCCGCCCACCAACCATCACCAGCCCAACTAGAGATGGGCTGCACTGTTGTACTCACCCACCGTTCCCTTCCCTCAACTCCACCAGCACCACTGTGAGTCTCTGTAATAACCCTACAATGGCACAGCTTACATGGTGCCACGTTATACACTAGTTTGCAAATTGGCATGTTTAAACTTTTAGGTCATGAGAGAGCAACTAGCCCTGTCTTCATACCATCGTATGTCTGCCTAGGAGAAAAGCTAAGTGCACAGCAGAAACTCAATAAACAGTGGTTGAACAAGCAACACAAGTTGGCCTCAGAATGTGTGCTTCAAAATAGATGTGCTACATGTATTTCTATATATTCATTTTTAAAATTTAGGCTTCTGAAACAATACATGACAGATACATGTCAAGGGAAGACCCAAACCTAGGCCCCTGAGAACTCAAAGGTAAAATTCTTAACCAAACACAAAATGTATCCCGGATGATACAAGGCTGCATGGGATAACCACAGAGATACTTACGAGCCATTTGAATTACAGTTCTTCTTTGACCACCAACTGTTTAACCTTGAATAAAATGAAGGTCTCACTCTCCACAACAGCGCAGAGTAGTTAGTAAATGACTGACACTTTCCTTAGGAGAGCTGAGAGCACCTCACACCCGTAACTCCACACAGCCATCTTTTAAGCTGTTCATACAGGACCAGCAATCAGTTCTTCTGACTAAAAAAGCTTCGAAGGTAAAGGAAGCTCTTACACACACGGCAAAGTCTCTGGCTCCATATTCATGACCATGGTACCAGATCCCAGTTTCCAGAGCCATGATAAAGACCTTCACTCATTTCACAAAGAGCAAAACAGAGGAACTGAGCAACCCCACCAAGCCTAAAGCTGACCCAAGGCCCCGCAGGCTGCCCCTCATCAGCCCCACCTCGGGTGTGAGGTGAGTCCAAGCTCCCAAGGACCACAGGAGTACACGAGCCTCAATAAATTCAACAGAGCCAGCAGCAGGTGGACGCATTCTTTCCTGGAGCAGCAAGAGAATCAGAGACCTCATTGTGTCCCACGAAATAAAGCTGGGAAAGAACCTGCTCAGTCTTCTCCAGGTGGAATTCTCGTTCACCTTTGCCAGGAACCAAGTCCAAAATAAATGACTATAAAACCAAACCTCCCATTGCAAGCCCGTTAATTTCTAAAAACAAATTTCCAGTCAATTCAGGGTCCACCAGGCTTTTAAGTGTTCAAAATCCAATTTATTAAAACTGTTACAGGGTGGAAGCAAAACAACTAAAATATTTTTATAATCTGCATGTCTTTAAGCATAATTTCCTTTTTCTAAAAGTTAAGAAAATATTTTGTGTGGGTTCCATAAATTTAATTATTTGTTGATTTATAAGGCATTAGTACATTCTTTAACTTAATACACGTATAGGATGCTTCTATTTAAAAATGTATGTCTAAATGTCTCTCACTGATATAAGAGAAGCATTTCATAAAATATCTCCTTAGCAAAACTGGTACAGTATCTGTTGCAGTCTCCAGTGAAAACTCACTAAATTAAGATCTTAAAGGGCCTCAGATAGGGGCCGGGGAGATGGCTCAGTGGAATAAGCGCTTCCCTAGCAGGCGCAAGGGTCTGAGTTCAATTCCCGGTTCCGAAAAAAAAAAAAAAAAGGGCCTCAGATAATATATTCTTATCATTCTACTTGCCATATGTAGTTATTAAAATATATTTGATGTTCATATAAAATTATGAAATAGAACAGTCTGTAAGTCAGATTGGAGGGCCCTTTAGGGCAAGTACCACTTTGCCTGTCTTTCTGTCTTTAAATCCCACAGCACAGTTCACTGCGATGTAAGAACTCATGAAAATGTCTATTAAATTAGGTCTGTGGGAACAACAGGACTTGGCCATTTCATACTAAGTCCAAAGCTGCTTTTAAGGGCATTTCCTTGATTATCTCCCATAAAGTAAATAAGAAGGCACCAATTATGCTTGTTGTGCCTGTGATTAGTAAGTGAAACTTGACTCATAATACATCACACATAGTTTGAGCTAAATGTTGGAACTGGCTTTACTAAAATAAAGACCTCCTCCCTTTTCTTGAATAGTTAAAATCAGCAGTAAATTTAAATTTGCATCTAGGATGGAAAGGAGGCTCTGAGTTCAGCATAAACATCTGAAGCAAAGTTCTCCTTTCTAAAAAGCCAAAAGTAATAAAATGTTCCAGTTTTTTTAAATTTCAGGAACCAGAGTGGTGTGATACACAAGGTTCTGTACAATTCAACTCTGAACCTTAATGATCAGCTCCAGGAACAAGTGCCTAAAACCTAGAAGGTCACAGTGCCTTAGAGAGGCAGGTCACCTAGCAAGGCAGGATCGCACCACAACCAAAAGCCCCAAAGTCTGATCGCTAGAACCCAGGACCAGCTAGCACAGAGCCTCAAGAGACCAGAGATCTAGGCTCAAACAAGTAACGTCACTAACCCCTGCTAGTGGCCCCCCACAAGCACTCTCTAGGGCGGGGGCGGGGGGGGGGGAGAGAAAGCATTTCGCAGAAGAGCATCAGGAAGTCCCCTTGGATGAGGTCAGGGTGCCTGACCAAGTGGTATCCCAAGTGGCCTGCGATGCTAGCGCCGTGTCAGCGATCGTCCTTGGCGGCGCTCCCTGTACTCTGAGGGCCGGAAAAGCAGCAGGAAAGGCACAGCCCGGCACGCAGCACAAGATAAAAGTAGGGATCCCCACGCTTCCCGCACTCGCCCCGTCTCCAGCACCCCACGTCTCCAGCACCCCACGTCTCCACTCCACGCCTGCGGCTCTGTGCCCAAACTAGCCCCGGGGTCAGGCCAGGAGGCCGAGGCGGAAGGCTTTCACACCGTCCCGCAGAGTTGTGCAAACTGGGGGCAGGAAGGACAGAGAATCATGCCCCGCAAGGTGCGGGCGCACGGGGAAGCGCGGGGCTGAGAGGCGCTGAGGAGGGGACCCTCCCAAACTGGCCGGGGACGGACATGAGCCGCCGGGGGTCGCCCGGAAAGCGCGGGTGGCGCGAGAGCCCTGGCCCGAGGATGTCGTCAGCCCCTGGGGCGCCCGGCGGCGGCGGCGGCGGCGGGACCCCATCCCTGCCCCGGCCCCGACT